CTGGTAGACATCGCGGTTGGAATTATCAAAGGTTTTTGACACCTGAGAGACACCGTAGCGTTTGGAAGCGGGGGGTGGGGGTGGGGGGAGGACCAGGGAGGATGATTCAACCACTCAACCACTAGATGTCGCTGAAAACAACAAATCCTACACACTGTGCCTTTAAGTGTATGTCCTGTCGCATAGCTACCATGACAACGCTAAACGGTAGCAAAAATAGATTGAAATGAGCAAAACATMAATTAGTATCATAAATATCATAAAACAGCAAAATTAACAATATCTGAAAAACTAAGGGACCCGTCGTRGATGCTCATTTATTTCGCTGTACCAGCTTGTTTGATTTCTAACAAGAATAATATTTAAAAACATGTCTATACAAATGACAAAAGCATTAACAACACAACCGCTTGAAACTTTTAATTTTTATACCACCAGATTTTTATTTAAAACAAAATTCCTTTCTCTCGCTTTGTCCGTGATTACGAGGAGAGAAAAAAAATCTCCGGTCGGCCCRCAATGCTTTATGGGATGTGGTGGGCCGAGAAGGGTTCATCTGACCCGTCCCTCAAATCAGGGAAAAACGAGGACGCATTTGTGGGTCGCATTGGAAGAGTCTTCAAATTGGGACAGCCTCCGACGCAACGGCCAACAAATTCAGCCTTCGAAGGACACGGCCCCTGAGTTTGGACACAGCTTTTGTTTTTCACAAAAATAACAAGGCAATCACTTTCTGCTTTAGAGCTACAGGCATGTTTGTAACAAAAAGACTCACCATACAGCTGACTCCTCCAGGAATGTGGACACCATCGATCACCATGTCTTCAWCAATCTGACGGGATGTTCCCGGAGCAGTTGGGTACATCCTCAGAGTCTCCTTTAGCACCTGTAGGAGAGTTACAGTGTTACTAACAGTGAGGACACYWCAAATACTTTGTWGATTCATCATCTGTACCTGTGAGAGGTAGATCAGTTTCCCGAGGTCATCGTAGCCTATTTCTTGTTTCATCCCAATGACATCGTCCACTTCTTTCCTCACTCTRAAAATTCAACACTCTGCTTCAGAAACMATTCTTCTCTAACTGTATAACAAGCTAATAAGAACTSTATRTATCTTACTTCTCCAGAATTTCAGGATGTCGTCCAAGTTCCATGACACAGAATGCCAGCTGATTAGCTGTTGTTTCTTGACCTTACATGCAAAGGTTTAGATAAAAGTGAATTAGAGGAAATGTACACAACTTAAAATGAATTGGTTGTGAAACGTAAAAATTTAAACATTAAAAAAGCTCCTCACATAAACAAATTTGATRGGAAATGATAATTAAAAATAAAGTTAACTTTTAAAATCTGAGCCAATACCAATAATGAAAAGTAGTAGTTTAATACTTGTCAAATACTGTTGATTGTTTATATTATGGTAATTAAGTACAAACTACAAGTAATTCAATTATACTATAGTACCTCTGAACAGGCAAAGACCTTATTGTTAGATCTCTGGCATGAACCTGAAAGTTGAAGAAACAACCGGAACAACCATTCTGGTAGGCTGGTTCCAGAACACAGTTTAAGTCTTGCCCCCTCCATGTAAACACGTGGAACATTAAGGCTCCAAAATGTTTGTTTTTGGAACCTGTTTTCATCACATCTAAGGTCAAATTGACTCACCAGCAATAAAAAATGTCACAAAGTTGTCCAACATGAATTCCTCATCTTCTTCAGTCATGTTTTCTGTTACAAGAGAATGGACAAAAAAAGAGCACAAAATTGTATGAAAACTTATTGAGGTAATTTAAAAATATACACTTTTTAGGTATTACAACCTGTTGCAGTAGATTTGATGATCTGTGTGAGGATGTCTCTTGGGACTTCTTCACCATTCTGCATGGCAGTCTTTCTCTTCTGGATCCACTGAGCACCAGTTGTTCGCAGCAGGTKACATGCTTCACTCACTTCTTTTAAAAATCGTCTGTTCTTTGGCTTATACTGGGAAAGAAAAAACAGACATGCCAAACAGGCTACTGTTTAATATTTTCTAAATAAAGTAAAGTTTATAAGTTAGATTTGGAAGCAATGCCATGCCTCATCAACACTTCTTTTGTATCAAGCCTTTTTATGGTCATTTAGTTCCCAGGCTTTCAAAATATCCTAGTTCCAGGCCCATCAATTCTTCASTCTGCAGTAGCAGAAGTTCCAGTTCCGAAGTCTGCTGTTTCTACAATTCCTTCACTCCCCAAGCCTGCAGTCTTCAGTTTCGGCACCCGCAGAGCTTTTGACTCCTGCAACTGCAGTTCCTTTCCTACCACTTACACTCACCGGAACTCCATGAAGTTCTCTGTCTCCTAAGAGGTCTACATCTCCACCTCCTTTGTCACCTATTACATGGTACCTGCATCTTGAGCCTCTAGAGCCTAGTACATCAGGTCTTCAAGGTCTTCACACCAAATACACTGGAGTTGTTTGTTCCACACCCGATGACTGAGGTGTGGTACATTTGTTTGGACAGTTCTTCGGCTGCCAACTTGAGCTCATTTGCTGGTTTGAACAGTTCCTGGGCCAGTYGGATGAATCCTAYCACCAGTCTGGATGGTTTTTGGGTTGCCCACCTGAGTTCTGTCACCGGTTTGGACAGTGCGCGGGCTAACCTCTCCAACTCTATCACCTGTCTGGATGGTATTTGGGCTGTCTACCTGTTTTCAGTCTCCTGCTTGGGCAATCCTGGTCTGTGTACAGTATACTGTATATTTTAGGGCACTAGTTTAAGGCACTTTATTGACCTTTTTACGGATAAATGATGGTTATGTGCAGTGTCTAGATCTAGTGGTCTAGATACCGTATAATCATACCTACTTTAAGTTTGTTAGAATACTTTCTAAACAGTGTTTATATATGTCGTTATCATGATTTCTCGAGATAATGAGTTAATTTCCTGATGGTTTTCTCAAGATAAGTTAATTTACAGATGGTTTTCTCGAGATAGCAAGTTAGGGTTTTCCTCTCGTGCATCATTCAGTAAACATGAAGAAACTACAACTTCAGCCTGTGATCAATGCCATGGATCAGCCATTTTCAGCTTGAGTTCATTCTTGGCAAGGTTGTAAGAACATTGAGGGGTTTGGTCCTGGTTCGGACCTGGGGTCTTTCTGTGCTGAGTTTGCATGTTCTCCTTTTGTTTGCGTGTTTTTTTTTTTTTCAGGTACTCTGGTTTCCTCCCATAAACCAAAAACATGTACAATAGGTTGTCTTCAGGCCCAGGCCTGTCTTGCAAAAACTTCCATAACTTTAAACTTGTAAACTCTTATTGTTGTGGTGTTTTCGTTGAAAGTGAAACCAATTGAAGTATTACCTCAAATAAAAAGTCTCTAGTGTGGTACACCATTCCTTTCAGACATGTCTCAATGGCTTTAGGGAAAGGTGAATTACTCTTCAGGTCTAAATCCATACCAAARGCAACCTGAAATTTAATGAACAAATAAGCACACATATGTTTATTGTAACACAATCAGTCTTCAAACTAGTGTATTTGTCACATTTAAAATTGATTCTACCTTTGCGATCACATCAAGTGTGACACAGTTAAAATGGTGCAGCATGTGAGTCTCCTTTTTATTGTCAGCAACATCTGCAAGTGTATCCATCAGTGTCTCTGCCCTCTCATTGAAGGTTCCAATCAGACCTCGTAARTACCTGTAAAAAGTTTCAGAGCAAGAAAACCCCACATCTAAAAGCTCACAAGAAAATCTTACATTCATAATTTAACTGGGCAATATTTCACAGAAAAAACATCAACAAAATTCTAAAAGTGAGTGAGAAAAACAATGACAAAAACAATGTTAAGGGCCAGAACAAAAATTAAAATTAGAAACTAAAAAACTCACAAGCTGCTGAAGGCAGGGTCCATAATCCGGCGTTGTTTGTACCACACCTCATGATCATGTGTCGTTGCCAAGCCATTTCCCAAAAACCTGCAGTTTGTTTTGTTTATTACAAATGTAAAGAAAAGAACTTCAATACATTAACATTTTTGCTSTCAGGCCAATCTTAAAATTATTCAACCCATTSTCACTCCCAAGTYGTCTCATATTRAYGCTTTTCCAAGGTTCCCTCTGCGTCTGATTTTGACGCGTCAGGTACCCCCTCAYGTCAGTTATTKACGAGGTGGGGCGKAATTCGTTGTCATAATTTCAGAAAGTGTAAAAAATGCACAAATCTAACCGTCCCAAAGCCTAAAATTACCTTTATTCACTCTATACATCCTGTCCCTGACCCTAGTACCTAAAATTAACCATAAACCCTGATCCCTAAAATTAAAAATTTTTAGAAAGTGTAGGAAATTCACGTGAACTACGTGTCCCAAAGCCTAAAATTACCTAATATTTGCCCTAGACATCCTATCCCTGACCCAAGTACCTAAAATTAACCATGAACCCTGATSCCTAATATTAAYCACGGACCCCAAGTCAAAGACCCCTATATTTTGTGTCCCAACGYATMAAACCCAGATGCTGAGGGAACCCGTAAATCCCTGGTGCATCAAGAACTGATGCKACGGGTGTACCCGACGCGTCAAAATAAGRCGCAGAGGGAACCTTGGAAAAGTGTCAATATGTGATGAGTCAGGAGTGAGAATGTGTTACAACTTAAATTATTTATAGAACTAATTCCAACAAAAAAAAGTGTCTGAGGGCCTATATATCARTGATTCAATTTCTTATCTAAACTGAATCGTCATTGTATGTCTTTAAAATGACATACACGTTTTACCCCAAKACTCCTTGTTTGTTCATCACAAATACCATGTTTGAACATAAGGGTGTCCATAAGARCATGAGACACAGCCTCCTYTCTTTAAAATCCCCAAACAACCAAAACTCCAGACCTCTCCAGCCACCCTGCCTGGGCAGGAGGGGAGACCGGTTTGGCCCCAAAAGACTTGACGCTGCCAGCAACTGTTCCTCCCAGACAACCTGTCCAGTGCTCCCAGTCATCAGGCCAGGAAGAAGAAAGGGGCATCCTGACAGACCCATACCCTCACAGATGATGGAGCTGGACGTTCCACGTTAACCAGTTCCTCCCACCTAGCCAAAGAGTGTCCCTCCTCCCCCGTGGCTTCAGCCTGACTTCAGTTTGCTGTGATTCAGTTTGCTTTTCTGGAATTTTCACAGAAGCTCAGAGAGAGTCTATGCATTACTGAGGTATGGAGCTATTTGCACYGTCCCTGCAGAGCAGAGTCGGAGCAGCTTCCACTCCAGGTATTTTCTGGTCCCTGGGGGGTGGGATGCCCTAACCTGGATCTGAGGACTGATTACCCCAGGAAATACAAAGTCAGGATGCTACACACACATACGCCCCTTTTGCATCTGGTGCACTAAGGCAATTTGTTCGCTTAGGTGGATCTGAAGGAYGCATATTTCCATTTTTCAGCGTATCCACCACACAGGAAATATCTGAGATGTGCTTTTCAGCGATAGCTCCACTGTGGCAGCTGTCCAGATATCTGAAGGACCATTTCCTCCTRGAAAAGGACAAACACAATTAAGTGCTGGGTGTATTCATATCCCATAGTGCGATATTGAAACGAATGCTATGAACGAGAACTTTAGATTAGTTGCGTAACACTGGTTCTCAGAGTAGCATCAGTGTTTTTTATTGTGATTGTGTTGTTCTTTGAACTCTTTAAGAGAGGTAAAATGAGAGCGTAATCCACGCCCCCCTTTGGACTTAGACAACACACMTACTAGCACAGCAATTCTTCAGTTTGCACTCAATTTAGCACTCTGTATCTGAGATCTTGATGAATTAGCACCTTTGTCTCTCGGCTGAACTTGGAACACCTTGGAATCCTCTCAGAAAAGCTGGATAAAGTGGTTGGGGAAAGAGAGATCTGGGCCTCCCGGCTCAAGCTGCAGGCCCTACAACCCAACTCCTGAATAAGCCGTAGATAATGGATGAAAGGCTGTAAGACAGCTCTTTGAAACAGGTTTTGTAAATTAGGGTCAGAACGCAAGTATCAATAACGTTTTTAGACTGAATAATGCTGGCAGCCAGACCTGTGACCAAACAGGTAAGCTATTCTCTTGTAAGCCAACTTGTCCTTGGAGTACTTTTGGTTCATCAGGATTTCCTGAAAGCAGAGTCAAAAAAATGCAGATCAAAAAATAAACATAACACAACACCATAGCAGAGGGATTTTTTTTATATAATAAAATTGAACTTTACACGTCTTCCTTGCGTGTGCACTTTCACACAATTTTACAACTCTTATGAAACAGGTGTTTACCTTTGATGCGTCTGGACATGTCACAATCAAAAACACATGATGCAGAGCATTTAGCCTGCAAACAGGCCCATAAGTCTCACACCTGTAAAAGACATTACACATTTTTACTTTTACTTGTAGATAATACATGTTACACTTGCAAATTTRAAGAGATTAGAGACAATTTTTTTCCAACTTACCATTCAAGGAATTTGTCATTTATATTTGTATCATTTTTCATATTGTCCGCAAATGTTGGTGCATGTCCAAAAATAAAACTTTAATGAAAAGGAATAAAAAAAAGTTAATATTTATGTTGCAACATCTTACCAAGCATTGACATACTAACAAAAACTTTACCTGTTTCTTGGTGGTCCAGGTATGTGGTCATATTTCATGTGCATGTATTTAATATACAAGCAGTAACCGAGAAACGCTATGAAAAAAAGAACAAACAGAAATAAAAGCACTTTTACTCCAAAACCCCAAAGTAACTGAAAAACTGCCATTTCAGTGAGTCCTGTACAAAGTCACGTTTTCTGCCTACAGTCAGGGGCGCTGGATGGGGTGGGGGAGAAAAGTTAGGACAATGCCAAGGGCCCTTAACTGATAGGGGTCCACACAAAAAAAGAAAARRAAAGAAAAAGAAAGAAATAAAGAAATTGTTGGTGGTGGGGGGGCTGTCAATAAAAAACGTTACTGAAATCTTTTTTTATTCTTGTTTTGGTAGTAAAAGTTAAACGTTACCACTCTCAGACCAAAAGTAAAACAATCATATTTACGAAAAAAACCCTCTATAACTGCATCAAATGGTTTGTTCCTGCTTCAGTGTGCCTGACAGAAGGTGTTTAGCTGCATTCATGAAACTCAGAGAATAACAGAGCTAGTATAACAATGCTGTCAAGAACAATAATAAAATGACAATAAAAGAGTATATTAAAATGATACAGTTTGATGATTTTGTTTATATTGAATTATGGCCTTTAATTGACATCTGTAATTACTGATTTTGTTATTCCCATCATTATTTGAAAAAAATAACTTATATTTCCGAGCCGTCTTTAAACGCACCAAGATCGCTACACCTCCAAATGACAGAGAGCAGACAGCAATCAACGAGATGAGACCTGCTGCTGCTATGTATAAAGCAGTCCTTTTTTAAATTCTGTGCAGAAATTGTGCTTTACTACGGTGACCTTCCACATGTTTAAAAATAAATCTTTATAGAAAGAGCAAAGTCAGGGAGGAGACATCAGATCCRACAGTTGCAGGGTCTACATGACGCAGGGTTTTCTCAGGTAAGGACAGACAGACAGAGAACTTATCGCAGGGAGAAACCAGGCAGGTATCAGGACAGAGTTTTCACCGAAATTTCAGAATTACTCTTCTTCACACTCCAACATTAGGGGTGCAACAATACATGTATCTGTATCGAACTGTTCAATAGCTACAGTGCTTTAGGTTCAATACTCACTTGTATCGATCCATACAGATTTTTAAAATTTATTTTATMATTTATGTCTTTTGAAGATGCTCTGTGTTTTAGGCTCAAAGGATCTTTGTTTAACTACTCCACCTACAGGATAGGAGCATTGTCGAGTGCAGATCCACTGAGAAACTGGCTGTTTCAGCAAAATTTAATTTAAAAACTGTACTTTTAAGGTTGAACAAATGTTCATAATAAATTTCAATAAATTGCAAGTGAAGGACATAGACATTTCTCTTTTTTGTATCAAAAAAATTGAACCATGACACTAAAGCATCGAACCAAATCGTGAATTTTCTGTATCATTGTACTTGGGCTGCATGATATTAGGAAAACCAGCTATGTGCGATAACAGTGCTTAATATTGCAATGACAATATGACTTGTGATAAATGAAAAAATGTGTATGTAGTGTTATCTTTCTGCTCTTGGTTCAAATCCCAAAAATGGTAAATGGACTGTACTTACATAGTACCTTTCTACCCAACCAGGATACTCAAAGCGCTTCACATTGCAATCCGTGCCCTCATTTACTAGATCTCTACAAACCTAACATGTACAATCAGCTATGGAGACTAATCAGTAACAATCACATTCATAAACTGATGGGACACACATCAGAGGTATTAGGGGTGGCGTCTTGCCCAAGGACACAACAACTGAGACAGGTGRAGCGGGGGGATCGAAGCGGTGACCTTCTGGTTCCAGGACGACTCCCCTAACCACACTGCCACAGCCACCCTGAAAAACAACATTAAAAAAAAATAATAATCATTTCCACTCCAGCCTGATTTTTTTTTAAATTGACCAAATACATGAAGGGCTCTATTTGATTTGTGAAATATTTCAAGCTTCCATCTGAATGGCAAAATGCATGAATGCAAAGTTTTGAGTCAACCATTCATTGCAGTTCATGTAGCTGTTGCGACATGCATATTGCAGTCTATTATCACGATGACAATACATTTTCGATATATTGTGCAGCCGTAATATACTGTATATATA